GGCCTCCTCGGTGTATCGGTTCCACGGGGCGTGCATAAATGAGCAGCGGAGGGCGGCGAGGCGGCGAGGCGGCAGGGCAGGGGGTGTAGGTTGGCGAGGCGTAGCGGGGCGAGGAGGAAACATTGCGGTTGTTATTTAGAATAATTAAAAGGACGTGGGGCCGTAATAAGGGCTGCCGTATATCAAGCTCCCCGGCGCCAGATCAATATGGCGGCCGCGGCTCTGCGCGTCTCACATTTCACGTAGTTTAAAAGCAAGAAGGAGGAAAGAGAAACCAACTTTACCAAGAAACCCAAGCCGGGGGCGGCCGGGTGCCGGGCGAGTCCTGCGGGGGGCCTCGAGGCCTCGGGCTGCCTTGAGTCCTGCCGCCCACCCTCCGCACAATAACACATGTCCGATAAAAATTAATGTAGTCGTTATTGTGAGTCTCGTTTAAGCTGATGTTTCATTTTTATTGATATCACAGACATGTTTGATCATAGGAAAGCACCTGGTGGCATATTTATCGTGTTAGACTTATTTTGAAGTGAGTGAGGTGAACATTGCCTTTAAGTTGATGCAATGCGACCTGCCCCCGAGACGCTGCCCTCTAAACGCCCAACTTGCGCAGCCGCTGGTGCTGGCGCTGCAGCTGGCGGAACATGATCACGAGCAGCACGAGGGAGGGCAGCTGGAGCAGCGCAGTAGGCAACCACTTCTGGAGCGCCTCCCAGAAGCCTTCAGAAGGAGGAGGTGGTGGAGGGGTGTACCGGAAGAATTCCGAAGAGGGCGGCGTGAAGTTCATGAAGCTGCTCTTGAACTCCTCGGTCGGCACCTCCGTCATGTTGACGGTCAGCCTGGTGACATTATGCCGAATTAGCAGTTTTACCAAAACGAACAAGGGGGACACTGGCATCGTGTCCAACAACTCTTCAGCACCTGAGCTCATCAATCATTTATAGAACAATTACAGAACTGGGACAGAGATGTGGGAGGGGAGAGGGGACAGCGGGAGAGTTCCCGCTCGCACCCAACTGTTCAATCCTGCCCCTAGGCCTACCTGGCGTAGTCGTCCACCATCCACAGCTTGGGCACGATGGGGATGACGTTGATGGCGCTAGAGTAATTCTTGTCGCACGGCTGCTGACGCTCGATCAGCACCACGCCCTTGTCCCTGTCCTCCAGCGTGCAGCTGCACGGCACCTCCAGCAGCAGCGCTCCCTCGGTCCGACGCGGCACATCGCGGTTCTGGACCTCCGAGCAGCGCACCACCAGGTCGCGGTCCTTGTTCACCACCGAGTAGTTGTTGTGGCCGATGTGGACTATCTGCAGGCAGATGAGCATCAATGAATTATGGGCTCTGTGTAAGCTCTGCGGCTACAATATATTCAATATGTACACCTTGTGCAATATGTACTTGGGTTTCAGATTCGCTTTGTTACATTTTATACCCATTGCCCTATCCGATTTCGATTCAACGAAACCATTTTTTTCTTTTCGACGAATGATTCAACCGTATATGCATTATCATTCTTTTCCGAATTCGCCAATCTAACTTCTCATACTAAATAATTTTGTTTTTGGTTTTTGAAGACGAGGTGGAACTGGTGGAAACACCCAACACCCCACCTGAAGACGTCTATAGGGCTGACAGGTGAAGCTGCACACGCTCTTCAGCTCCCGTATCTCGGCCCCGGTGAGCACCCCGTTGATGCAGGCCATGTCCTCGGCCTCCGTGATGCGCGGCACATTGCAGACGGGCCGAGACAAGCACCTCGTGCGCTGCTCTCCCTCCAGGAGGCGCACAACGGTCTTCGAGGTGTCGCTCCTCTCGGCCACGACGGCGACCACTGGGTGCTTCAGCAGCTGGCACACCTGTTCCTCGTACAGGAAGGCTATCGGCATGACGTCATACGTCTTCAACCGAGCACTGCTCTCTTGCTTGGGCTCAAGCGGAAACCATGCCATCACCTTCAGCTCGTGTTTACTGAACTGGCAGGAGGCCATCTCGAGCTTGAAGAGCGCGTCAATATCATCGACGGCCACCCTTTGGCGTGGGTTTTCTTTGTGGACCCTCGCCACGATATATGCCAGGTCCGTTTGGTCGACCACCGTGCTGGGGATGCGACCGGCCACGCAAGCCGCCTCGATGCTGCAAGTGCAAGAAAGAAGTACTTTACAGATTAGAAAAATTTCAGAAAATGCTTTGGAAAATGTACATAAGTGTAGTAACACGTGCGTCGAACCTTCTTATTCGTTCTGCTACTAGCAACGTATCAAAAGCGAGGGAGTTGACCAGAGCTGCGGTCATGTCCACATGGCTGGCGTAGCCCAAACGTATATTTATGTCTTGTGTGAGCTCGTGCTGCATCCGTTCCGCATATTCCTTCCATACATTTAGCTGTCGGGGGGAACCGTGTTGGTTAAAATCATATTTCACATAAATTCCATTTTTTATTTTAAATATCGTTCAGGAACGGATTGTGAAAGCAGATCATACGTAAGTAATGATCAGGGCTTCTTTTATTATATCTTAGTATAGGCACGTGGTGAAGTTAGTAAAAATATAACATCCACATTCACATAGTTTTGTTTTTGTTTGGGCTCTCATGTAAGACGCAGGCAGGCAAGCGGAGAGCGCAAGCAGCCGACTTGAGCCGAACATACCAGGTAGCTGATTAACATCGCTCACTTTTGAAGCTATACTGCACGGCATGCAGGCGTGCGGCCGGGTCTGCTGTGTGGAAACCCAAGTGTACACATGCATGCGTTATTTGCTGAATACCTACCGGGTGCTCCATAAAAGGCACACGTGCGGACTGGTTTGTTGCATATATGATCATGTACGCAATATTTGATGCATACATGTAGGTATTCAGCAAATATGTACACACTTGGGTTTCCAAACTGGTTAGTTCAGTGACCATGCGTGTAAAATCATTATCATCCTGCTGAAACGTTCACATAGGTCCTATGCCTAGTTGGATGTTATGTTGTGGAGAGAGGAGCTCTACAACCCTGAAAGTGGACGTTGAAGCTGGGCGTGCGGATGACCAACCTCTTTCACCAACTTGCCCTGAGATTCATAAAAGGCATTTTGGGTCCTGTCCACCTCTTCGGTTAATCGGTCCCACACGGCGTCATCGCGTGCCTCAAGCGCGCGTCTGTCTTCCGCTGTCATGAACCCACAGCAAAACCTGGAGACAAACATGGCGCAAAATCTTCAGCCCTTGAATTTCGATGCGTGTCAAATTTCGAAGAATTAATATGAAAACTCGTTTCCAACAGCCTAGTCTGAAAAAGTTGCTCGGAAGTTTCAGGTTTGTTTGAACAGTGAAACTCTTGTTCAAGGTTTTGCATATAATCGAGGGGGCAATTACTCCCTTTTGAAGTGTACACATGATTCCCAAAATACTTGATTCCCAGTGATTCCCGCCCGTTTATATTTATTCCGTAGCTTTTCTAGTTGTAGAAAATGCTTATTTCGACTAATTTGTACCAGTTCAGCTAGTTACCCAGTTTAAGCGATTTCTGTTGACTTCGATTAATTTTCATCGTGATGATTCCCAGGCACGTGTACACATGATTCCCGGAGTTTTTGCCCCCTCGCATATAATGAAAACAGTCGCGTGTTTTGAACGAACCCCAAGAGCTCTGATAAGGAGTTGAGTGGGTTGATGCTGCGCTTGTTCCGGTGCGCGTTGCGCCTGGCCGTCTTTTGCACGTCGTTGAAGTGAAGGTCCAGCCGCTCGTACATATTTTCCAAATCGCCAATCACATCCCGAACAACGCCTGTCTGGTTCGGAGTCATCATGTTCAGCTTTGCCTGCAAGACGCATGCACGGTTCAGTGACAGCCGGTCGAGCCGGTTCAGGGAGGTATCGCTCTAGGGGTCCGTAAGGCCAAAGGGCGGTACAGCCCGTGGTACAGCCTCTTTCTTGGCTATATCGTCAACAGGAGAGGGCCGCAATCTTGACGCACTTGGGCTTGATCGTCACTGAGAACTACAGAACGGAACTTAGTGTCCCATATGCATGCAGAAGAAAGCATACGAGAGCCTATGAGTTCTGGGGTATTTAGTGACAAACTTTTTTTTTGCCTAGAACGTGTCACCGCACCGCATTACGGCCCCCTGTCCTGTCTCTCCCTCGTGGCGCGGACTTACCTCCAGGGTGGCCGTGAGATGGTGCATTGTGGCTTTCAAGTCCGGGATGGTGATGTTGAAGCGGATGATGACGAGCTGCGCGGAGGAGGCGAGCACGCGCGGCAGCGGCTTGAACTGCAGGCCGTCGTGGGGCCGCGGAGGGAGGGCGGCCATGGCCAGCGAGGGTGCGACGAGCAGCAGGCCGATGAGCGGGCTCATCGCGACAAACGGGGAAAACAACTCACCTGCTAAGTGTACATCCCTAATCAACTCTGCCCAATTCAAAAACAATTCAACCAATTCAGTCCAATTTGAGCCAATTCAAATTCAATTCAACCCAATTCGAATTCAATTCATGAAATTTGAACACCCAATTGAGAAGTTGTTTTTCCTGCTCGATCGCGACCCTATGGCCCGCCGAGCCCGGCCACGACTGCGCGGGTCAGATTCATTCCCCTCACTGCCTCTACCCAGAGCGCCCGCAGAGATTAAGCTGGAGCCGTATCGCGCGGCAACTTCGGCCTGCAGCGCTGCTATTCGACAGAGCGCTTCGAATTCACTGGGAGAAAATGATTCGCTCACCACAATAAAGCTCTAGTTAAGACTGAGTTGATTGATTGAGAAGTATTGTCACTTTTTAGGGTTTTTATTGTTGGTAGTGTGGTAGTGAATGGACCATAACCAACCATAACACACGCACGACTGAGTGGCGTATTCCTCAGAATGGACAAGGATCCCGCTGCCTTTTGTACAGTCATCGCATGACGCTCAATTCCAACAAGTGTAGATGAGTATTCCCGTGTCGAACACCCGAGGCGGCGGGAGGCCCACCAAAACGTAGTTTCTATTCTACATCCATGGGCCCACCCACCTGACTGCAGGCGCCCGCCGATGAGTAGGCACTCCCGTCACACACCCGAGGCGGCGGGAGGCCCACCTGCAGGCGCCCGCCGTACCGTGCTGCCATGGAGGGGGAGGGGGATTTCGCCGCCGGGAAGAGAAATAAGAATACCGTCGCGAGCGAGCTGCGGGGCACTCGAGCAAATCGGCTACATCACAAAGAAGCTATAGCGGCGGAGGACGGGCAAGAGGAGGGGGTGGCTTTCTCCGCAGAATTTCGGAAACGAACGGAAAGTTTTGGCAGTCGACTCGCACTGGAGAAGGAGTGCCCCTCGCCTTTTCTATTCTCTCCTCGTGTATCCTGCACCGGTTGGCAACACACACGCACACTTTTAGAAGTTTTCTTTCCTTCTTACTTGTCCGCTCCATATATCTCCCGCCCCAGTGCATGCAATGCATCGGAAGCGACCACTCGCCGCGCGCCAAAGCTAACGAGCCGTTGGCGTACTTGAGATAAACAGCGGGGGACAAAAGTTCCCCTTAAAAGAACGGAGCGGGGGAAATGGCAAACAGAACAAACTGATACAACTCTCTGGAAGTGTGTTTATGAGGAGCGTGACATATTATAAGAACGGAAGCGCGATGGACGTTCTGGAAAAGTTTACCCGGTGAGCCGTAACTTAATTTCTATTCGGTCGCCCGATCCGGCCCTCCTTGCGAGCGCCTCGTCTCGTGTTGAGCTTCAGCAGGTCGTGTGAGGGGCATGGCGCTCCACGCACACCGGGCTGGACCTTTGTGTGCTGTCCCCGTGCACGGTGCACGAGAGGGGCTTATAGAACCAGCCTCAGGCCTGACCCGGGCTACATTACACGCATCATCTGGGATTGCAAGTAGTCTCCCTCCCATTAGGACTTTCGCGACACAGGTTTACATTCCCACCCCTTTGAATAATAATGAGTCAGCCGTTAACTGTCGAGTACAGAGGTATGCTGTCGGCCTGTTTCAGGGTGTAGTGTGCGCGTTTGTGCCCTCACCTCGCTCTAGAGAAGGGGCTTCGTTTGTGTTTTCTGTTTTGCAGTCGAACACACCGCACCTAGGCGCCGTTGCTGTTTGGTACATGACGCCCCCTTCGGTCTCCTGGTTTGGTTCTCCTCCCCCCCCCCTTCCCCCTGTGCAACTACAACAAGATCGAGCAGCACCGACCTGACTGCTCGGTTCGGTCAGTCGAGCCGATTTCTCTTTCCCTCCCAACGCCGCGCCGCCCCCCAGCGACAGTTGTCCTGGCGGGGCTAATCAAAGAGGCCCCCGGCCGCCACC